TACAAATACTTGTACTTTTTCCCTAAAAAAGTAACGAAAGTACAAGTAAAAGTACTAAATTTAAAAAGTAACGAAGTACAAGTAAAAGTACGTACTTTTTACTTGTACCGGCGGTACAAGTAACGAAAGTAAAAGTACTGCCATATATGTATATTACGCATTACATTACATAGAATTTATAGAGTAAAAAACTGACGAATTATACATTAGATTGCAAATGATTGCTTAAATTGCAACAGTAAAGTATTAGAAACACATAGAACACAGACACACACAATTGTACAATACTTTACGTACACAATTAAAATTTCGATACATTCCTCATTACAAAACCATACCACAAACACACACACTGTACACTGTAGCGGCGACTTGTTTAAATATGTCGATAAATTTTAAAAACTAAAGTTGTAATTATTTGAGAGATAAGAAAGAACGTAGAAAATCCCCCTAGAATGATAAAAGTCCTTAAATCAGCAGGAAGTTACGGTTAAGACGGCGGAAATAATGGCGAAAGTAACAGAATATGTAAACATGGTTATTAATTTCCTCTTGAAAGCAGTTCTGGTTGGCTTCCTGATCCTTCTTAACAGCGCCAACTAGGCGTAAATCTTGAGTCCTTCTATCATCTCCGAAATATGAAGGTATCCAGGTGGTTATTTTCCGTTTAATAGAGAGGTTTATCTATCTCAGTGGAAATTAAGCCGAGCCAACTTAATTAGAATACGAATAATAAATTTGGAATACAGTTTTATTGTTTGTTAGAGGGAGCATTTAATATAAACACATTATTTACCCAGGATCTTTAGTGCAATTGTATGCAGGATATAATAAGAACTTCAATATTATTAACCTTCCTTTTTTTCAAAAATAAGTGGAGGAATTGTTTACGAAAAGAGCATGTGGAATATATAAATCTGAAACATTTTTGTTTCAATTTATTTCCTTCAATAAACAAATCTTTGCGTAATGAATCGATTAATTAAGAGTTCTCTGAAAAGGCGTGGGTGGGTAGGGTAGGGGTGTGGAAAGGGACAATGGCTCCAGGCATTCAACTAAGGGAGCGTCTAATCTACGACTAAGGAAATTTTAAAATCTATTATTTTATTAAGAAATTTTTTAACCAATGAAAATCCGTTTTAACGACAGTTCATCATAGCAGATGAGCTTGTTGATATAAGCTAATGCATATAGTATTAAATTGTAAAACAGCAATAACCATACTAAACAATGAAATAGATATATTTACATTTTTTTACCTATAAAACCTATTTACCTATATTAAAAAATTTACCTAGATAAAAGGTTAATATATTTACCTTTTATTTCGAGCAACTATATCGAACATGAAGCAGATAAATCATTTTCTGCTGCAAAACAAGCTCTTGCAACCCTATTAAAATATCCTACATCTGGTGCTTAACTTCGTCTTTGGACTGACGTGTTGCAATCGAAAGTTCTTTAATGCAATTCAATGAAGATAATGGGGGACCAATCGCTCTCTTTCCAGCAAAATTAAATGGAATTTAAAAAATTGGTCTACTTGGTTTAGCAATAGATGCATGTGTCAAGAAATTAAGGTAACTCTGTAGGTGCTAGAAGGCAGAAATCTTTCGATTTTTACTGATCGAAAACCTCTTATCTATCCTTTCAAGTAAAAGCCTGAAAAGTGTACTGATCTTCAATTGCACCACCTTGATTTTATTACCCTATTTTTTACTGATGTTCACCACATCGATGGTGAGGAAAACATTGTATCAGACACCTTAGCCAGTATAGAAATAGGTAACATTTCAAAATATCTATTATATTTTAAACAAATATATCAGACTCAACTTGAACATTCCGAATTACAACAAATTCTTAGTTCTCCTTATAGTACATGTAAAAAAACATTTATACCCCTGGGAAGTGTAGCTTTATATAGTGATTTGTCGACAAATATACCACGGTCTTTTTATTCTCGAACCTTTTCGATATCAGAATTTTTCAACACATTAACATTCTTTCTCATCCAATAGTTTTATCAACAACTAAATTAATAACAAAATTGATATTTTTGGTCAAACATTAAGAAGTTTATAAACGAATCTGTTCGATCGGGTATAAGCTGTCAGCGTTCTAAAGTTCAAAGACAAGCAAAATCTTCCATAGGCAATTTTGCTATGTCAGATGCTAGGTTCACACTCATTCTTATTGATTTCATTGACACTTTACCCTCATCTGAAGGTTTTAATTATTGTATGACAATAATCAGAACCAGATTACCAGAAGTTATTCCAATTACAGCTATAATTGCAGAAACAGCTTTTAAAGCACTTATCCATAATTGGATTGCTTGTTTCGGTTGTCCTTTAACAATAACTACAGACTATAATTACGCACAATAATTACATACAATAACAACACAATACAATAACTACAGGTCATAATTTTGAATCTCATTTATATAGATACTTAACGCAAATTGTAGGTTCCAAATTCAACCTCTTATCACTCTCTGTCGAACAGTTTGATTGAATGTTTTATAGACATCTAAAGAGTTATATTATTGTCCATAATCATTCTAAATGGACTGAAACTATTCCCATAATTTTACTAGGGATTCGATCTGCGTTAAAACCTGACATAAATACAAAATTTGCAGAACTAGTTTATGGAACAACTCTTAAGATTACCGTCCGTTATTTCAAACACTACTAATGATTTATTATGGCCGAATGAAACATGTTTCCTAACTTATATCAGTCATGCAATATCTAAATCCTGTTCCATATTATCATTGTTGCCGGTGGTAAAAAGTGAAATAGTCCACTGATGAAAAAAAAAGTACGCAACGTTTAAAAAAGGCTGCAAATCGGACTAAAGTCCGCAAAGCGGCAACACTGCATATTATTAATTTTCCTGTCATTATCTGTAATTTCTAGATTAGTCGTAGAGTACGAGCCATGAGGAGTAACGTGACACGACATCTGGTGGACACAAGCGGAAATATGTAGTACCTTCTATCACTAACAGATGGCGCTAATAGCACGTACAGAATAATCTCGTTGGTTCGAGAAAGTTCTGGTGTCTTCCACTCACTTCTAGATGGCAGTAATTGGAAAATATAAGATGGCTAGTGGCGCAACCACAAGTCAGTTCCTATGACACTGTTGTGAAATAAAATAGTGCGTACCTCCTTAAAACGTGTTTGTGCGTGTTTAAGTTTAAGACATCTTTGTAACAGTATTTTGATTTGAATTGTTGCTTTTGTGTGTGATTTAGTAGTATGGAAAAGAAGCGAAAAATTGATAGTGAATGCAGAAAATTCAAAGATCAGTGGAACATTCAGTATTTCGTAATTGAGTCCAGTAACAAGGCGCTATGTTTGATTTGCAATGAAAGCATAGCCGTTCTCAAAGAATATAACATTAAACGTCATTATGAAACAAAACATTTTCAAAATTACTCAAAATATACAGGAAGTTTGCGGACAGAAAAATTCGAAGCTATGAAGCGCGGATTGAAATCGCAGCAATCTTCATTTACAAAACTCAAAACTGAACAAGAGGCTGCAACTCGTGCCAGCTTTCGTGTGGCTCTTGAAATTGCAAAACGTGGAAAACCATTCACCGATGGAGAAATGATCAAAGAATGCATAATTGCAGTAGCCGAAGAAATGTGCCCTGAAAAGGTAAATTTATTAAAAACTGTCAGTATGTCAGCAAACACTGTGGCTCGAAGGGTAGAAAACATCGCTGAAAATATATCCTCTCAACTGTTCGACAAAAATGGACATGTTGAGTGGTTTTCTTTGGCCTTGGATGAGTCAACGGATGTGTCAGATACTGCTCAGGTGTTGATTTATATTCGAGGAGTAGATAAAAGCTATGAAGTGCATGAAGAACTTCTTGATATGTATAGTATTCATGGCACAACTACTGGTACAGATATTTTTAAAGGAGTTGAAATGGCCATTAATCAAAAGAACCTTCGATGGAAAAACTTGAAATGTATTACAACTGATGGAGGCAAAAACATGAGTGGGAAAGATAAAGGAGTGGTCGCTCTTGTGTCAAAGGCTGTAGAAAATGACGGTGGTTCAAAACCATTAGTCTTACATTGTATCATTCATCAACAGTCTTTGTGCGGAAAATGTTTGGATATGTCTGAAGTTCTGAAACCAGTCATATCAACTGTTAATTTTATCAGATCTTTTGGGCTGAATCACCGACAATTTATTGCAGAGATTGGAGAAAATGACTTACCTTATCATACTGCCGTACGTTGGCTTAGTTGTGGGAAAGTCCTTCAGCGCTTTTTTGAACTTCGAGCAGTGATCGAAATTTTTTTGAATGAAAAGCATCGCCCTCTTACTGAATTACAAAACAACGCATGGCTGTGGAAGTTAGCATTCTATGTTGATTTGACAAAACATGTGAACGAACTGAATTTGAGATTGCAAGGAGAAAACCAGCATCTTCCTGATTTATACACTAATATCAAATCATTCCGGAAGAAATTGATACTGTTTCAATCACAACTACGAAGTAAATGTTTTTCACATTTTAAAACATGTGAAATATTCAGCCACACCACTGAGACTGAGTTTCCTATCGATTTTGCAATCGAAACTTTGAGTGCTTTGAAAATAAATTTTGATACTCGTTTCTCGGACTTTGATGCCATTGCGAATCAAATTAAGATTTTTCAGAATCCTTTTGATACTGACATTGAAACCCTAGCCCCGGAACTTCAAATGGAAATGATTGATCTACAGTGCAGTGATATAATTAAGAACAAATATCAAAACTCATCTTTGTTGGAATTTTATAAGAGTCTTCCACTGACACAATTTGATAATTTGCATAAATTTGCTCGTGGGCTGTTTTCTGTTTTTGGTACTACTTATTTGTGTGAGAAGACCTTCTCCAAAATGAAGTACACAAAAAATGTTTACAGATCTAAATTAACTGATGAGCATCTTAAATCTCTTTTAATAATTGGTACAAGTAAAATTAGTCCACAACTACAAACTATTGTCAGTGGAAAATCTCAATTACATAAATCTCATTAGTATTTCATATGTCATTATGCTTGTTATAAGTTATGTTTTTATTTAAAATGTATAAAATGTTAGTTGGATTCATTTCAATAATTTGTTAGTTATTATATACTGAAGTTAAATTTTCTGCATATTATACATGTCTTTACTCATTACAATTCTGTGTTTCTTTACCCAACTTATCACGAAAACAATAACAACAAGCCTACAACAATGTTATGAGTAGTTAGCCCATGACCATATCAATGTAGATGTCATATTAATAATTATTCAACATAAAATTAGAGCACTTCAGTAAACTGAAATTAATTTGCTATAAAAAATATGTTCTCTAAAAGGAGTTTTCAAGTATGCTAGCTCTCCGCGGGCCGGACAAAATCTGTCCGCTGGCCGGATGTGGCCCTCGGGCCGTAGTTTGGAGACCCCTGCGTTAGATGGACCATGAATTGCTTAAATTAATTCTTTTATCCACTGAAGAAAGAATCAGAAATGTTTTTGTTGCTGATATGTGCAGAATAAAATTGTGTATAATAATCAATCATTAAATAAAAAAATAACTTTGATTACATTCAAGCATATTACAATCTTACATAAACTTGGTATTAGGTTAATATTTGCTTTCTCTCTTTACATTCAACTGTTTAAAAAATTTTCTGGTAACTGTTTCAATGTCCTGACATTCACAAGCTAAGAAAATGACAGCCAGGATAATGACAATTTGACATTATATAGCATTTAACTTTACTTTAATTTAACAATTTGGTCTAAGATGTTTACATTCCGCAAAAAACAACAGGATTTCTTGAAATAACTCAGGTAAATTTATGTCGTTTATGTTATTAATGATTTCAAGAAGACAGGAAAATGACAACAATAGGTATTTTGAAATAGGTTTTGAACCAGAAAGTTGATTCTTTATTCATGCAATAAGACATGCTCAGGTAAGATGGTATTCTAAGCTATCTATTAACATAAGATATTGATTGCTGGCATTGTCTATTTTGGTTATAAATCATTAAATAAAAGTAGCCAGGAAAATTACAGATTTTCTTGTGACAAACAAGTTATTGGCAGAAAAAATTATTTTAAACAAAGTTTTTGTAAATAATACCCTCTGCATATATTCTAAAAATGCTTACAACGGTTGAGATAAAAAAAATTAGATATTGAAAAATTTATGGGAAGTTTTGAAGCTAGTTATTATTGGAAATATTGTTTGTGACATACCAGGAAAATGACATTTTGAAATTCAATTAAATTTTTTTAATATACAAAACAGTCAGTGCTATTACAAGGTCATTTTAAAATACTAACAGCAATGCCATTTATTTAAATTTTAAAAAAATGGTTCTTTTAGTAGTATAGTATTAGATCTTGGAGCAAGATACTGTAAATTGTCATATTTCGTGAGAATCACCCCTTTATCCTGTTATTTTTACAAAGGAGACGGAACTTTTGTTCTTAAATTAAACAATAAGTACTCAACAATTTCCATTGATTATTTGAAACTGCTCATGTACAGTGAGATTCTTCAGATTCAAAAAGAATCTAAAATTGTCCCTGAAACTACCACTCGCAGCCGACGTCGAGTGTATTTTCCAAAAATATAGATCTCAGTCATATAAAGAAATTTATATAATTTCTTTATTCAATATTATTTCCATCATTTTATTGAAAAGTTCTTTTCATAAACCTTATCATGTTGTAACATTATACATCAAATCATTTTATTGTTTTCCCTGTTCTCCTTGTTCAGTGGGAGGATACTCTTTAGGGACCCTATTTGTACGGCAGCGCCATTTTCATAGAACTGCTGCATTGGGCAATACTCCCTTTTACTTTAAGACTGTTACTGTTCGCAGGGCATTCACCGTTTTGTTCACTCTTTTCTCCAAGTGCAGTATGTTCATTGTGTTCCTTGTGTAATACGTTATTTTTATTAAAGTTGTTTTCTTACACATCTACTAAAAGCCCAAAAATTGTGTTACGGCAGTCGACAAAAAATTTTCCTTTTTTAAATTTTTTTTTTAACAAAATGGCGTCTATTCAATAGAAAATGCCTATAAAATATTATTTAAACATGTACAATTATAAGAAAAAAATAACAAGACATTATATCCCCAATTGTTCCCATAATGTTCATTTAAGAACAACTTAAAAAATATTTATTCTAACTTGTGGTCAAGCTTAAGGATTTTATTAACAATCCCACTATCTGTAGTAAGGGGTGAACGCTCTTTTAGTAAATTAAAAGCTATTAAAACCTATTTAAGATCTACAATATAATTTTTAGTTTCGTCCATCGAGTGAAAATCTTTTCCGCCGGCACTGTTAGTCCTAATAGAACTAGGATGAATTGACAAAATATTCTAAAGCGTAATATTCACCAATAAAAACTGATGGTGATGTTTTTGTGCTCTAGCACAGGTATGATCTATTATGACTTCATTAAACTTGGCTCATTTGCCACAAAAGTTGTTTCTACAGACTACCACTTTTCAATTGTGTTCTAAAAGTACTTGTATTCCGAAAATGTATAAAATTGGTTTTTCAGGAATTTCTTGACTCGCGACCACCAGGTTTTTTTCCCCACTTGCCTGAATAATCTGTCGCTTATATGACAAAGAAATAGAAAAACTGTGTGCACATACATTGATGAATAAAATAGTTCCTTTACCAATTAACCAACTTAGTCTCTTTTATCCACAAATTTCCTACTGGACAATCTAATATTTCTTATCAATAGCAAACCCTGTTTTTATCCACAAAACTAAAGTTTTTCCCTCAAATTCCTCACCAACGTGAAATTTAAAGTAAAAACTGTACTTTGAAGAAACCTATATACACCCTAAAACAGACAATTTTTTGCTTATTCTTAATATCCATCTTTTTGGGGGAGGGGGATCCATAAAAACATTCTTTTTAAATATAAAAGTGAAAATTATCATCACCCTTCTTCGATCGACTCAGAACAAAATAAAAATTAATTGCCAGAATTAGATGTCATTAAAAGTTTACATTTTTATTATATCAGAGCCCATTAGAAGTTCGATTATTTATTTACAAATGAAGGCGGCACCGTTCCATCATAGTCAACATCATCCAATTTCCATTTCACCCTATTCGTTGCTACACGATAAATTTTCCGTTTCTATGAATTCAGAAGGAATTTTCGGCAACATTAAATGCTACAGAACACAAGGCGTTATCTGGGGAATTATTTAAATTGCGATGTTGCCCTATTTTAAATACTTTCTCAGATACTTTTCAGATAACAGAGTGAAGTGAAAACTAAAAACGCTTTGGAATCTCCGGGGGGAAGTGGAAATGGTTAAAGCATCTTTTAACAGCAAATATTGTTATGTCACCGTCTGCTGATTAACAATTATAATAATTCGTTTTAATGCTAGATTTTTATTAGGATATATTTCTGTGATGACCGTTAAAATTGTCGTAAAGTTTAACGATAAGGGCGTGAAATGTTTGGGAGGCACTGTTACAATTATCTGCTTTGGGTGAAAGCAAGTTAGGGGAAGAGTTATTAGTAGCGGATTTTCCTTTTCCGTAACAAGATAATGATCAACATTTTAAAAGGAGGGGAAAAGTATTTAAAATGTATATTCGCTGAATTGTTAACATAAAAATTTTGAAACTGAATTTCACATTTAATGCTAGAAATATTTTAAAATGAAGCATGAAAGCTGCATCATGTACAAACTATTTAAGTAAAAATAGTTTATAGTCCAGAAATTTAATTTAATGAATTGTAAAGTTTAATGGTACTTGATCTGAATCGCCTATATTGTACTAAATATAAACAACATTTCATACTCTTACATAGACAGATAAAACTGCACTAGGTATAAACTAAGATTGACACAAAAAGGAGAAAGGATCATTGGCTTGGTCGTGACGCAGTATGGATGGTGTTTTCAATAGAAATGTAAACAATAACAATCTCGAGCTTGGGACCTACTCTAGTTCCGGTTAAAAAGTTTGCAGCTGCTTACTACATGTTATTCTGATAGGTGATGTTTTCAAACGGATAATTTTGTTTTCAATAAAAGAAATAAACTAGATAATTTCTGAGCTCAAATCTGCCGTATTTCATAAGATATTAATGTTATTATGTGATTCTGGGGAGTTTGGAGTGAAAATTTGTTTTAGTTATTTTGTTATTTATTATTAAAAAAGGTGACATGGTTGCTAGATTTTGAATAACTCGCTTTTTTGGCAGTCTTGATTTGGCCTCTTTCCATTTGTTTATTACTGTTTGTTCGTGTTGCAAGCTGTGCACCATCTTACGTTAGTGTTAACACTTTTAGTATTGTAAACACAAGTATTGTTAGCATTGTAAACATGAGTAATAAGTAATCAAATGCATTGTTTGCAAGAATCTCAAAACACAATGATGCCAAATGGCTTTAAAATACAACTGAAACAGTAACCCGGAAATTTAGGCAGTCCCGAGCTTGCAGCGCTCCCTAGTGTAGAAAACACCATCCATAGATACTTAATTAACCTCAACAATTCAACTGTACTATTAACAAAATTGTATGTGCTCCTTAATTTTGAAGCGAATTACATTATTTTGACCAATGGTGTAGTAATGGGATTGCATAAACTGTTGATCAGCAAAAAATCTAGGTTTGGTGATACAAAATTGAAAGATCATTTTTAGAGAATTTCAGTTGCTCTTTCCCTTAAACGTGAGGCTATTGACTGTCATTTTCAGACTAAGTTACTACGCAACTATGGGCCGTATGGAATCATTTTAAACACCGTATCATGTAGAAATTATTGTTGTCCAAAAGATAAATGTTTCGCAGTGCAAATTTGATGAGGATTCATCGTAACGCTTAAGATAAGTTACATTTTTAGCAAAATTGTTAGATTTTCAGTTCTGACTAAAGCATATCTTTCAAACATTTACGTGTTTTTAGAATAAATAATACACGATCTAGAACAAATAATACAATGTCTCGATAATACAGGGTGTTCCGAAATGTGAC